CGTCTGCTGCCAGAAGGCAATGGGTTGCTGCTACTGTGTAGCAAAGCCGTACCGCATCTGCCAGCACCCAGGAGACATAGGGTGATGGTTACCTGAGCGGGCTCCATGCTTGCCGTGGTATGGCGTCTGCACAGGTAACTCAGGAAAAAAGGCGCGAAATGATTGTCTGCCCTTGCTTTCACGGAGGGAGGGAGGGAACGGGGGCCTGACGATACGTACCCAGAACCACCCGCGACAATGTTTTAGCCCCATCAGAGTGCTCCATTGTGACTGCTCTGGACAGAACTCTCAGATGCCCGATTGTTTGCCGTTGCTCTGACGCCGGGAGGGGCGACTGAGGACACGGCTTACAGGGTTGGCTTCAGGGAGCTAAAATCAACAAAGGGGGTGTCTTTACATCAAGGAGTATTTCAGGCAGGACTTCACAGAGGGTTCCAATAAGAAATGGTGCACCTAAGTTATCGTTCTTATTGGAACAAGAAGGTTAGCCTGGCCTCTGATTGATACAAGGCTAGATTTACCTCGCTGCACCTTCTCTGTGAGTGACTGCAGTGTGACCTAGAAGAATGAGTCCCCTAGACAGGGGAGGGGGGGAAGCAAATGAGTACAAAACAAATCTGGTCTATTTCTTGTTTTGATCCACTCCATCTATCTTTTACATCTTTGGCTGGCAGCAGACGGTGCAGAAGGACTGCATGCCATCCACATCTCATGGCTGCTCGGCAGAAGATGGCACAGTACGACTGCTAGCAGTCCGTATCGCCTGCCCGCTCACCATAAGACGGTTCAATAGGACTGACTGCAGGACTAAAGAGAATGACCTGGTCAAGTCACTCCAAATTTAGTCCCTGCGCCCATGTCTGTCCAGGCGCTCCCAGCCAACGTGGCCAGGAGCACCTCGGACATGACGATGACAGCTACTTGTCGTATTGCACTGTCTGCTGCCACAAGGCAAGGGGTTGCTGCTACTGTGTAGCAATGCCGTACCGCCAGCACCCAGGAGACATAGGGTGACGGTTACCTGAACGGGCTCCATGCTTGCCGTGGTATGGCGTCTGCACAGGTAACTCAGGAAAAAAGGCGCGAAACGATTGTCTGCCCTTGCTTTCACGGAGGGAGGGAGGGAACGGGGGCCTGACGATATGTACCCAGAACCACCCGCGACAATGTTTTAGCCCCATCAGGCACTGGGATCTCAACCCAGAATTCCAATGGGCAGCGGAGACTGCGGGAACTGTGGGATAACTACCCACAGTGCAACGCTCCGGAAGTCGACTCTAGCCTCGGTACTGTGGAAGCGCTCCGCCGAGTTAATGCACTTAATGCACTTAGAGCATTTTCTGTGGGGACACACACACTCGAATATATAAAACCGATTTCTAAAAAACCGACTTCTATAAATTCGACCTTATTCCGTAGTGTAGACATACCCTGGAGGCACTGCCCCCATCACTTGCTCCTCTCTTTTCCCCCCTCGCTCACTGGATCATCTCTACTTCCCTCCCCACCCCTGGCTGGGCTCCCTCATCTCCCAGGCTGGGCCAGGAGCTGCTGCAGGTAGGAGCTGGGCCCAGCTGAGCGAGGTGGATTAATGACACAGCGCCTCCCCAGCCCCGCGGTAACCGGACTTTTGGTGTCCAGTCAGTACATCTGACCAGACGCTGCCAGGTCCCCTTTTCGACTGGACTTTCCAGTTTAAAAAACAGGCACCTGGCAACCCTAAATGGCACCCAGACACAGAAGCCAAAAACAGGACTGTCGGCGTAAAACCCAGACAGGTGACAACCCTAACTCCCTTTTGAGCATCATATAGGGCCGAGGGGTCCTTAGTTTGCGGATCTGTGTTTATATGAACACCATGTGGGCATAGATAGAGAGGAGGTGAAGTTTATATTATGATTTGCTTTACTCTGTTTGTGGGCTGGCTTTATTGCATTGTTTTCATTTGTATTACGGTAGGACCTAGAAGCTCCAAGCCCCACTATGCTAAATGCTGTGTAGACAGACCCTGTGCATGTGGGGATGTGACTGTAGCACATATAAACATACCCGAGGTGGCTTTAATTGATCTACCTTGCATACCGATAATAGTGAAGCTGTGGCTGTACGAGCCTGCCTGGGATCCTGAGTGCATGCTTGGACTGCGGCCATTCGCTGCCGTTGGTACCAAGAGCGCTAAATTAAAGCTAGCACAAGTATGGATACACATGCTGCAATCACACCTCTGATTGCAGTGTAGCTAGATCCATAGTAAGACACAGACCCTTCCCCGAAGAGCTTATCGTCTAAAAGCATAAAACAAAGGGTGAGTGGGGAAACTGAGGTAGGAAGTGAATCACCCATGGCAGGGCCAGAAATAGAACCTAGATCTACTGGATGACTCTGTCCAATGTCCTAGCTGAACGTTACCACCCCCATGTCCACCAGCAGGCAGGCTGGTTAAAAAGTTTGGCGAGAGGACAGGTATGTGCCATGTGTGGTGATTCCCACTTGGTGCTCAGAAGAAATTTAAATTTTGCGACATGGGATGCTCTTTTTGTTGTTACACTCTTCAGGGAAGTGTTCCAGCATGCACCAGTAATGGACCCCTCGTGCTGACAATGCAAACAAAATCAAGTCAGTTGGCTGATGCATGTCCCCTGCTAATCCAGAGATGTTTCCAGCCTCCAATGACCTCTCTACGCTCTTCATTTAGTGGGTGAAAAACTGGATCTCCCTAAAGACAGACCTGGCATTTGACACTTTAGCACTTGGTTATAAAGCTTCCAACTCCTCTTTATCAGTGGATCTCATTTCCCGCTCACCACCCAGCCTGTTTAAAAGAGCGCTGTAGACTGTCCTGTGAAATATCATGTCTCGGGTGCAGTTTTTATGTGCTATCCAGTCGCCTTGCTAGCTCAATGGCCTCTATTGTGCTGGTGTCTTTTTATCCTGGGGAAAAGGATGTTGATAGGATGGCGAAGGCTTTATTTTCTTTCAGCGCCAAGTAGGACTACATTTCCCCCACCCCACCCCCAACTGCATCACCCACTTTACAGCCTAATTCTGTTGCGGATGGTTTTTACCAGCTGGGTTAGCTTCCTGCATTTTAGCAGCGATTGTTATTTATTACAGAAGCATCAAGCGGCTTCCCCATGGCACTAGGTGCTGTACAAACCATGAAAAAGGCCCTGCCCCATAGAGCTTAGTCTAAATAGACTAGTGAAAGGACTGGAGGAGAAACAAAAAGGCGCAGAGCAGGGAAGTGACTCTCCCAGCTGGCCACAAAAGCTGGAGAAGGAATCCTGACCGGCAGGCCAACAAACTTTGCAAAACCTGCTTGAACGTGGATTGTGCTTTCTGTTCTGCCACCGTTTCCTGTTGTGGCCTAGGCCCTGGAGCTGTGGACTTGGTCGTAACCAGTAACTTGAGTGCCTTTCCCACAGCTGCTTTGCTCTGACATTTACAGAAGAGCAAACGGTGCTTCACCACTTCCTGTCTAGCCTTGCAGCAGCAGACTCTCTTGTCGCCGTTCACGTGAGCTTGAATGTCCTTGGGGGAGCCAATGTGCCAAGGTCAGAAGTTAGAGTTGCTGGAAGAGTGTAATTCCCTGCTTTGTTCCATAATGTGACTGGATCTGAGATTCCATTTTCACTCTGCAAATGCCTAGATTCGATCTAATCATTTCCTTTCCGCAATCATTACGGAAGATGATCCAGCAGTAAGGTCTCTAGTCTGAGATTCTAGGATACCTGGGTTCAATTCCCTCCTCTGTCATAGGCTGCCTTGTGTGACCTTGGGCAAGTTCCTCATCCCTATTGTACAGATAGGGAACTGAGGCTAACAGCACTGCCTTGCCTCACACAGGTGTGGGAGAATAAATACATTACCGATTGCAACGCCATTTGAGATCTCCTGATGAAAAACACTATATAAAAGACAGGCATTGTTGTTATACTGGGATAATTAAATACATTAAAGGTTATAAGGTATCCAGATTCTTCAGGGATGGAGGCCATGTAAATATCTAAGGTAGATATTATCCCCTGAAATGTTAATTGGGGAATGTTTCCTGGCTGCATGTTGAAGAGGTTTAGGTGACCTGATCTTTCTTTCTTTTTCTTTCTTTCTGTTGGGGATGAGAGTAGCTTTGTGCACCTGCATTTCTTAGACCTGCCTCTCACCGAGTAAGCCAAGATATTTCACAACGTTCCTCTTTCTCCTTAATCCCTTTCCTTTTCTTTGCTGAGCTCATCCTCTGGTGCCTTTTGTGTCATAGTAGCATCTGGCTGGAGGGAAAAACCTAATTCTTTCCCTTTTGTGCACTCGACTCTGAACCTGAGCCTGTTCTCTAAGCAAGTCACACTCCTCCCATCCCCAATCTGCTTGGTCATGATGAAGTTTTAACTACAGGTCAAGAGAATTTTTTAGTTGTATTGTTGAGTCCCAGACTAATCTCTTTGATGGGAGAAAGCTGGAGAGATTATAGCTGCAGGAAGAGCTCCATAGTTCAGATTGCAGAGTGCATTTCATTGCAAGGCCCGCTTTCATTTTAACAAATAAAAAATCCTTTTTTGGTGGAGGAATGTCTTTTTTTTCCCATGTTTAGTCTCAAGCTAGTCATGAATCTTAGTGGGGAGGTGGGAGAAAATCAAGGAAATTGTCTGGTCAGTGGGCTCTGCAGAAAAGATTTAATTCTTTTTTTTTTTTTTTTTTTCTTCCTGAGGAAGTGGGAAAGAGAGTCTCAGCTGTGGGGGAAACCAACTTTTAAGAAGTTGGCGTTTGTCATGGATTTAGTCCTCTCTGTGAGGCTCAGATCTAGGATCAGCCTGGTCAATTAATACGTATTTTGGGGTTTTCAGAGCTTCAGGTTGTGTTGATGCAAGTGCTGTATGCGTCAATCCCACAGTGTGTTCTGCGTATATCACTTGCTACCTTTGCAAAGTGCTTTGAGATCTGCAGACCTTCTGAATTATGACCCCTGCTCACTTTCCGTGCATGCGATAAACTCTCCCTTTCAGACTATTTAAAAGACCAACTGGATCTCTATGTGAAGCAGCTGCAGATCGTGAGAGTTGTGCGGCAGCAGGAGAGGAAAGGGTTAATAACAGCACGACTACTCGGCGCTGGTGTCGCGAGCGGAGAGGTGCTTACTTTCCTGGATGCTCACTGTAAGTATAGGTTTCAGAGGAACAGCCGTGTTAGTCTGTATTCGCAAAAAGAAAAGGAGTACTTGTGGCACCTTAGAGACTAACCAATTTATTTGAGCATGAGCTTTCGTGAGCTACAGCTCACTTCATCAGATGCATACCGTGGAAACTGCAGCAGACTTTATATATACACAGAGAATATGAAACAATACCTCCTCCCACCCCACTGTCCTGCTGGTAATAGCTTATCTAAAGTGATCAACAGGTGGCCCAACTGTTGATCACTTTAGATAAGCTATTACCAGCAGGACAGTGGGGTGGGAGGAGGTATTGTTTCATATTCTCTGTGTATATATAAAGTCTGCTGCAGTTTCCACGGTATGCATCTGATGAAGTGAGCTGTAGCTCACGAAAGCTCATGCTCAAATAAATTGGTTAGTCTCTAAGGTGCCACAAGTACTCCTTTTCTTTTTACTGTAAGTATAGCTGGGCCTTTCTGCCTTGAGTCAGCTTCAGGACCCCAGGTGTGGCTTTTAGCTGCTTTTGAAAATGTTACTTAGAAATTACATTTCTTTCCTAGAAAGAAACCATGCAACTTACATTCCTCCCGCTTTTTGGTTCTTTTCAGTCAGGCCCAGCCCGAGCCCAAATTGCACACCAGGCAAGGAGCATCTTTGGCACGTGCCCCCCTCCCCCGTTTGTTAAACTTTTGAATGCCTTATTTTTTTATCGTATTTGTGGCTCATTTCAGTTCCGCAGTCTTAGAAAGTCATCAAACATCCCATGTTGAGTATGGGAAAAGAAGCGTTTTGCATAGATAGGGGTTCAGTTGATACCTCTGGCATCTCATTAAATATGCCCATTATTCGTCGCTACTGACACTCTCTCCGCGTTTTAAAACACAGGTACGCTTTCACAATTACACAATAAAACAAAGTTCGCAATATCACAGCTGGGCTCTTGCTTCACTTCCCTTCGTTCTGTATCTCACTGACTGGCGACACCCTGTCCCTTATATAGGCGCATGGGCGTGGCTGACATTTTAGGAGGTTCAAGGAAAATGTAGTTCTCAAAGTCTGGAAGGTTGTACGAAGGTGCACATACAGAATACCTGAAACATCTTACTTCAAACATTCTATTTTCCCCTTTGTCACTAACAAGAAAAACAGAACCCCAAGCCTAGCACCAGGCGACTGCCTGGATCACCTGTCCCTAAATCCAGCCCTGTTTTCGGTCATGCCAGTTGAATAGTTACTTACATCAAAACTGGAGGTTTGTGTTTTTTCTGGGTTTTTTCTTTTCTCCTTGTAACAAGGCATTTGTGTTTGGAAGTGGCCTGGGTTACTGGGGGGGGCGGGGGGGTTGATTGTTTTTTGCCTGTTTTCCTGTAGATAATCGATAGTCACACAGGGCCTCACGCAGACTGAGCAGTGCTTTATTCTGCAAGACAGCCAGTCAGTTGCAATGCAAGCCGAAACCAAAAGCTGTTCCTACGTGAACCCTTTTTTTCAATTGTATTTGAATGGGATTTCTTGCAGCGTAAAGTGCTGTTCTCTGCACGTAAAGCTAGCTATGTCTGGACCACCATGAAATGACTGCATTTTCCAGAAAATACAGTGTGTTCTGGCTGTTTTCTGCCCCCTTCTTAAGAGGCTTGAGAATCTTATTTCTCTCCAACCAGGGTGAGACAGGTCTCACCAGAAGATTTCATTCATCATTTGTATTACATTGGTGTCTAGATGCCCCACCAGAAATACAGAGACATTGTGTCGAGAGCTAGGTAAACACCGTAGGCCATTCCTATTAAGCGCATGCTTCATTCTTTCGTTGAATCTGGGACCATAGGGAGAGACGGGGCCTGTCTTAAGAGCTTGCAATCTAACCAGTAATGATGAAATCCCACCTTTATGGTCCTCTTCCTCGCTGCTTCTTAGGCGAGTGTTTCCATGGCTGGCTGGAGCCTCTCTTATCCCGGATTGCAGAGGAACCCACGGCCGTGGTGAGTCCAGACATCACCACCATCGACCTGAATACCTTTGAGTTTTCCAAGCCAATCCAATATGGGAAGCAACACAGTCGGGGAAATTTTGACTGGAGTTTGACCTTTGGGTGGGAGGCCATTCCTCCTAAGGAGAAGCAGAGAAGAAAAGATGAGACCTCCCCTATCAAGTAAGTGCAAAATGAATATGCCTGTGGTATATTGCTGTCTTCTGAGACCACTGCTTATCGTGCTGGCCAATATTGTCTCACTGGTTCTATATGCTCCCCCGTCTGTCAGCAGCCGTCTGTTGTCTCTTGTCTTAGTCTGTAAACTCCTCCGGGCAAGGACTTTTATTCTGTGTTTATACAGCGCCTGACACAACGAGGCCCTGTCCGTGACTGGAACTTCTGGGTGTTATGCTAACACACTATTTTTCTTTGTGGGTACATGATACAGTACCGCATGCAATAGCTAGGGTGACCAGATAGCAACCGTAAAAAAAAAAACGGGACGGGGTGGGGGGTAAGAGGCGCCTATATAAGAGAGTCCCCCAAAACAGGACTGTCCCTTTAAAAACAGGACACCTGGTCACCCTAGCAATAGGCAGTCATGGAAAGGAGTGTTTGGTCCTACTTGTCAGTCTAAGGGTGTAGTTAACAAATACTAGAATAATTCTATGTGTGGAGCAGTTTTGTTTTGTTTTCTTCAGGCTGCAAGGTTTTCTTCTTAGGGCTGGTCTAAGCACAGATATATCCGTCCAGTCAGGGATGTGATTTTTGAATTATTACTTAGAGTTATCCTTAGGCTTGGAAGGGTTAGTTTTTTGTTGGCAAATGTCAGTAAATGTCAATTTCACCATACATACGGAAAAAATATTTCCCTCAATAATAACTGAAATTTACAGAAATAAAAAAACAAAATGCTGCTTGAGAACTTACTAAAGTTTGATTTAAGGATATTGAGTGTGTATTTTTGACATGTGGTGGTGACAATTTGTGTGTGTTACTGTTATAAAGCTTTAACTTTCTGAATCTCGGCATCTACTGTCATTAAATAATTGTGTAACACGCACCCCCATGGTTCCGCTCCCCGGAATTTTGCAGAACTGTGAAAATTTAAATTGATAAAAATCGGAGGGGATGCGTAGCAATAAACATCTATATTATCCATAGAATTTTTTTTAAAAAATCTAATAACTCGGTTTGGCAGACTACAGGTACAACCCCTAATGGAGACAGTAATGTTGACACAAAGTTGCTTATATACAATATAAATTATTCCCTTTCCCCTGTAGGAATAAGCTATACACTGGTATAAAGGTGCTTATATCTCAGTAACAGCATCCACACTCGAGGGGTTATACTGCTTGGTCCAGTGATGACGGCGGTACCCTAAGAGATGCGTGACCTAGTTTCAATTCCCTGCTCCTCCACGGGTTTCCTGCGTGACCTTGGGCAAGTCACTTAGCCTTTCTGTGTCTCAGTTCTCCATCTGTGCAATAGGGATAATGGTATTGCCCTACCTCACAGGAGTGTTGTGAGAATCAGTATATTAAAGTTTGTGAAGCGCGTTGAGATCTACTGGTGAAAAGAGCTAGGTGGTATTATACTGGGATAGTGAAAGTGGTGCAACTTTCTAGCGCAGACAAGCCCTCGGTCTGTCTGAGGTTCATTCAGTGGTGTGGCCTGTTTTGTTAAGAGAGGGCAAATTTGACCTGCAAATATTGTCCTCGATATTGGCGGGTATTGGAGTGGACCAAACTCTTTTTTTGACAGATAACGTGTGGTGGTGGCTTTTTGCGGGGCTTTGGGGGTTTGTTTTTTCTCTCTTGGTTTTTTGTCAGCCTTTTTCTGAATTTGGAAAATCTTTGTTTAAAAAAAAATACCCATTAAAATTTATTCACGATTTTTAAAATATTTGTGGGGTTATTTTCATTTTTTGATTTCTCCTTTCTTTTTTCCAGTCAATTTTTAAAATCAGGTGCCCCTCCTGTTAAAAAAAAAAAAAAAAAAAAAGGCAGGGAAGGAGAAAACAACCAATTAAAAATTACGGGAGGGTTGCACCCTGCAAAATGAAATTTTAATTAAGAAGCTTTTTTTACCAAATTGTTTGGGGTTTTTGATCTTTTTTTACCCAACTAGCTCTAGATGGTATTTGTCCTTTTTCTTGGGGAGAAAAGAGGCAAAGACAAACACCGTCTACCATGCAACATGTATCTTTGTGGGAAGGGGTAGCCCCTCGACCCCACCCTTCCTAATACGCCCTACAGCCAAGCTCTCATAGAGGGCTGCTGAGTTTGGGCGTGTCATGTTTTGAATGTGTCAGATGCTGAGTGCCTAGCTCAAGGTACCTCAGGGCTGACTTTGAGAGGCGCCAGCAAAGCTAGCCAGGGGTTTTTCAAAGCTAGCCAGGGGGTTTTCAATGAAAAACCCCCTAGCCAGGGGTTTTTCACTTTTCTGTCTGAGAAATCTGATCTGTCAAAACCAAAACTTCTAATGGAAACATAGTAGTTTTGATGAAACATTAGTCAGGAAGGTGTCTAATATCCAATATGGAATTTTTTTGAGGGGTTGGGGGGGCTCCTACCCCAGAACAGCCAATAGCCTGATTCAGAGCAGTGACTTAAGCCTGGATCTCCCACATCCCAGGTAAGTGACCTAACCACAGAGCTGTTAGCTCATGTTTTTTGATGGAAAATTTCAAAGAGCTTCATCGTTCCAATGCAAAACTAAAGCACATTTCAGAACCTCAGATTTTCACAAAACAGAATTCTTGTTTTCTAGCTCAGATCTAATGCTGAGATGCTTCGGACTGGCTTGGCCCTGCAGGCCCTTGAATTATCTGAAAATCAGGCCTGAAAACAAACCTCCAAAGCCAGTGGCAGCTCCTGGCAGCTTGGCTTTTTGTTCATATACCATGTACAGCCTCTTAACTGAGTGTCAGGATGTCCCCTTAGGGTGCTTGGCTGTTAGGCCTTGAATAGCTTCCCCTTCCCAGTGTAAGGCAGCTACATCAGACACTGTTGTGTGTTCTGTTTGGGTTAGCTGAAAGGAGTGGGGTGGCTGGTTAGGAGGATATCTCTAGTTGGGTTTGAATGAGAGAGAGCCATTATGAACTTAATTTCTACGAATGAAAGTGTCACCCACACACCTCCTGGGTGGGGTGTTCTGTCCCATCGGCGGGGAGGGGGAGAGGAAAAGTTTGCTCCTGCTCTACACCCTTAACTAAGCCAGTTGGCTTTTAGCTCATGTGGTAGAGGCTCGTGCATTAAGCTCTGGAGGTCCCCGATTCGATCCTGCCCACCGACAACCTGGGTCTGTCAGCGTTTTACAAAAGGAGCTCTTAATCACCTCAGGCTCCAGACAGACCTTGCTTTCTGGCAAAGTCTCTCATTAACAGCGTAATTGCTGTGTCTTTTTATCTTTCCACTTACCTCAAAAAACCCTGTCATCTGAACGCACTGTCAGTACCTGAGTTGGGAAAAGGGGGCGATCTGCCCGTTCAGTCTTATGAAAAGGCCCTTTTCCTGTTTGAACAGAGGGAGCATTAAAGATTAGTAGGAATTGCTGTCCCGCCAAAACAGGAGAACCTGCTTATTGTGATACGGAGACTTGACTTAAAACTTATTGTGTTTTATTTCTTTGCCAGTGAGATGGTATTGGTCAATTTCCAATTAATTCTAGTAGGCTGGAGGCAGCATGGTCTAGTGGCTAGAGCACAGGTCTAGGAGACTTGGGTTCAAATCCTTGCTCCGCCACTGACTACCTGTGCGATCTAGGACAAACCACTTAGGCCTTGTTTACACTAGAGAAGATTTGCCTGTAAAAGATCTAGCAGAGAAGTAGCTTATACAGGCAGAAGAGGTATTTTACCAGTATAGTTGCTGTCATTCAGGGAGGAGATTTAACTATACCGCAAAAGATCTCCTTTGGCCAGCGTAGCCTGCATCTAGACTAGGACGGTTTGCAGCATAACTATACAAGCAAAAACGACGAGGAGTCCTTGTGGCACCTTAAAGACTAACAAATTTATTTGGGCAGAAGCTTTCGGGGGCTAGAACTCACTTCATCAGATGCATGGAGTGGAAAATTCACTCCTTGCACCTGATGAAGTGGGTTCTAGCCCATAAAAGCTTCTGCCCAAATAAATTTGTTAGTCTCTAAGGTGCCACAAGGACTCCTTGTTGTTTTTGCTGATACAGACTAATGCAGTTACCACTCTGAAACCTATACCAGCAAACCTTTTCTAATATAAACTAGTATCAGTTCTACACCTTAAACTTATGCTGGCATAGCTGTCTCAGTCTGGGACGTGAGGAAGTGTGATTTGCGACTGATGTACTGGTAAAATCACAGTGTTGCTGATATAACTCATTTTGTTCAGAAGGGCTGGAATCGTCTATCTTGCCCAAAGCACAGTTTTGCCAGCATGAGGTCCGTCCACGGTGCTAGCGTAGGATACCGGCAAACCTTGTCTCATGTCGACCTGTCCTCTGCCTCTGTTCCCCATTTATAAAAGGGAGGGGAGCAGCACTGAAGTGCTGCAAGGATAAATACAATAAAGATACAACAGCGACAGGGGCCAGATAAGTTCCTGAGATTGGGTTTTTTCTTTGTTTTTGGTAACTTACCTTTGACATTTTAAAGTGCATTGCTCCTGAAGCTCCATAGAAAAGAGTCTTTTGTCTCCTTCAAACCCAGCCAGCCTGCTGCCCAGTTGGCACAAGCAACTGTAGACGATAGTCACCTGTCTCTGCCCCTTCCGAAACAGAATAACCTTGAATTCCCAAGTGAAGACATTCAATGCCTGCTCTTGGCCCTTTCCGCGATAGCGAGACAAAGCCTGGCCTCTGGCCTGGAGTACGGCTCCGCTTTGTGGAAAAGTCAGACGGGAGAAGTTTCTTTCTCAATAAAGGTCCCTTTTTTTCCTGTGGACTGGTAACTTGGCTTCCAGCTGCCTCTAATCTCCGCTGGCTCCTCTCGGCGAGAACACAGCAGTTCAGTAAGTTTTTTATAAAAGCCAGTTTCGGTTCCACCCCACCCCCCATTTAAAGTTGAGATGTAACAGATTATAAAGGGAGACAAAAGGAGACGCTTAGTCCTGAGTACCTGGATTTCCTTTCTGCTCTGATATTCAGTAATGATACTCAAGGCTTCTTCTCTTCCTCCTGAATCAGATCAGCCCCTGGGTCCTGCATCCACTCGGTGTCGCAGCTACTAGCTGCTCCCTTGACTTCTCTCTGTCTTAGGTACTTACATGACCCTCATTACCGGACGATCTGAGCGCCTCACAGTCCCATGTATTTTTCCCTCCCAACACACCTGTGAGGCAGGGTAGCACCATTATCCTCATTTGTGGATGGGGAACTGAGGCGCAAAGATCAAGTGACTTGCCTAAGGTCAGATAGGGAGACAGTGGCAGAGTGGGGAATTGAACCCAGGTCTTCAGAGTCTCCAGGTTAGTATGCTATCCACTGGATCCTCCTCCTTGTCTGGACGATAATCCCTTATCTGAAGTATTTTGCAAGAGGCTTCTGACGGTCTGTTCTAAGGGTTTCTTTGTTATCCTAATGTCTCCACGCTTGTGACTGGCCTGCTCAAGACATTTTTCCTGATCGCAGGAGGACACCGCAATACCAGGGCTCAGAGTTCTGAATGTGAAGATTATTTAACATCTCAGTGTAGCTATCCCCATCTGCAAACTGGGGATATTTGCATCATCATGGCAAATCCCAGAGGGTCCCTGGAATGGGGTTGGGGGCCAGGAGGTCATGGCCCCATCACTTTTTACCAGCTGTAAGGGCGAGTGACTGGGGGGCGGGGCCTTGTGGGGCAGGGGCAGCACAGGGGTGGGACCATGTTTCAGGCACCAGTGGGGGGCCGGAGGGGGGGCCCACACTTCAGTCACCCCTGGTCTCCCTACAGATTTGAGTGCCACCTGTATCGATCTCTAGCCAGATCCCTAAGAGAGTCTGGCTGTGTGTTCAGTTTGTCCATCCTTGGTGACCTTATTGCCCTACTGAAGCTTTTGGGATGCTGGCTGTATAGCAGCCTTCCTTGGTAAACGTGTTCCTTGGTCTTCTGTCCTAATATGTCCATACCAAGAAAGGTGCCCATGCCAATACCAAACCAATGCTGATGGAGGTAGTTGCTGGGTTCAGCTTTGAATATCCTCATTTCTGATCTTGTCCTGCCACTTCCTATGGATATTTGTCTTGCAGCAGGATGAATGGTGGGGTTTGCCCAGATTGCTAAATTAACGTTTGTGATGCACCAAGTATGTTCTCTTGACTCTGCTTCTGACTCCCCTCAGGTCTCCCACTTTTGCTGGCGGCCTCTTTGCGATCTCCAAGTCCTATTTTGAACACATTGGTTCCTATGATGACCAGATGGAGATCTGGGGCGGGGAGAATGTGGAAATGTCCTTTAGGGTAAGAGCCAAGTGAAACAGTGTGTGTGTGGTGGGGGGGGGGAACAGTTAACTTCTAGCAGGATTAAAACTAGGGGGCCCACGCACTTTGTTGCTTCTGTAGGCCCATCGTATTGCAAGAGTTATACCAAGAGTTCCCCCACAAACACATATGGTCCCTGTGTGTTTCCTATTTTTCCCCTCTTCTGATTTTCTGAAATTCTTCCCTCCCCCCCAATCAATAGGATTGTGCCCACTGATGCCTAAAACATTCCCTGAAATTCTGGCATTGATCAGATGTAGCATTCAAAAGTTATCACGTTACGGAGAAATGCCAGTGAGTTGAGTATAAGGCCTCATAACCTTGGCCAACAAAATCCCTTAACTGTGGGCTTTGGACTACTGCAATACAAATAACGAAGCTCAAAGTACATTATGCCAGATCTCAACCCAGTCCAGTTCTGACCTTCAAACTATGGAAGAAAACACTTTGGACATAGGAAACATTCTTTTTCCCCTTTGATTGATGTGTCCGGGTTTGTCTGACTAAAGCTCCCTTTGAAATCCACTGGATGGGCTGCTTCCCCCTTGTGTAGGTTTGGCAGTGTGGTGGTCAGCTGGAGATCATCCCTTGCTCGGTGGTTGGGCACGTGTTCCGCTCCAAAAGTCCACACACCTTCCCGAAAGGAACTCAGGTCATCTCCAGGAACCAAGTGCGCCTGGCAGAGGTCTGGATGGACGACTATAAGGAAATCTTCTACAGAAGAAACCAGCAGGCCTCGAAGATGGCCAGAGAGGTACCAACCCCAGTTCCATAAAGCATCTCACAAGTAATCAAAGCATCTTTGATGTGTTTCTGTATGCAGGGAAACTAGTTGGTTGATTCCTCTTGGCAGTGCCAGGCTTCTTGTAGTGTCATGCTTAAGGCGCTGGTCCTATGAAGAGAACCACATGGATGGACCCATCTGCCTGTGCAGAACTCCATAGAAGTCAACTAGACTCTGTGCAGAGTCAGTGGCCAACCCATGTGGGATCTGGATCAGTAGCAGAGCTAGGTTGTAGAGCTGGGGGGGCGATGGGTTATTGGTAGTACAACCTTCAACTATATCTATTGGCTTGAAAAGGTGCCACAAGTACATGAAAAGGCCACCGGGGGGCGCACACACACCCCCCTCCCTATTAGCTCTGCCACTGTTCAGAACCCAAAGTGAGGATGGCTCCCAAATGCCTTGTGCTGTCTGAGATGAGCCTTCCGATTAGAACCAGTCGGAGAATATTTCAACATAAGGTTTTTCGTCAAAAAATGCTGATTAATTGAAATTTGTTTGCAAAACAGGGTAGGTTTGGACAAACCTCCTGACTCCCCAAAAAAACCCACCGTGGAAAAGCTTCAGAACTATCCATATTTCATTTTGCCGTTTTTCTGAACAAAAAAATTCAGGTTTTCTGGGTCAAAACATCATTCGTTTAAATTTCTAATTAGATTTTAAAAACAGAGCTTTAAAAGAAAACCATTCGATGAACCCAAGCTGAACTTTCTGGGTTTTTTTTTTTTAAGTCAAACATTTTTGAGATTTCCACTTTGTCCTGATTCAGGATGGGGGGGGAGGGGGGATTTCAAACTCTCAAAGATTCGCTGGAGGGAAAAACAGGTTTTCTCTCCCTCCCTCCTTCCAGTGACAAGCATCCTGGGAAACATCCTCCTACCTGTGATAAGAGGGGAAGGTGTGTCGTAACTTAATCCCATAAGGTTCTAAGATGAATTACAAATGGAAACTGCCTCTCTGTGATGCTTTAAGGCAAACCTATTAAAGGGAATGCCGGGTTCTGGATTCTGTTGCTGCCCCGTTGAGGCTAGTTTAATTTTTCTTGCATGATTTTGATAGAAAACGTACGGCGACATTACAGAACGGCTCAAACTGAAGGAGCAACTGCACTGTAAAAACTTCACCTGGTATCTACAAACTATCTACCCAGAGATCTTCATCCCAGACTTGACTCCAACCTTCTATGGAGCAGTAAGTGCAGGAGTGCGTCTGTGTTGTCCTGTTTTCTTTTGGTTAACCACCCCCGCAATTCCCTCCTTCTCTAGAAACAAATGGAGATGGTAGCAGCGGTTCGTATGGTATAGAGGCTCCAACGAAGATCAGGTTGCCATTGCACTGAGCAGGCTCCCGACGTGACAGTCCCTGCCCCAAACAGCTTACAGTCTAAATGTCCAAGACAAAACTTGGAGATGAGAAACGCAGACACCGAAAAGGGAAATGACTTTGCCCCAGACCTAGACGTTTTTCTAAAAGATCCGCTGTAGAAATTATTTTGGGGGAGTTCTGTGGTCTGTGCTATACAGAAGGTCCGATCACGCTGGGTCCCTTTTGAGTTTGAAACCTACAAATGAAGGCGTCCCAGCAGGAGCCAGGAATACCTTTCATATGCTTATCGGCACTGCTGCAGCAACAACACTGCTAATTATAGTCACGGCTGGCTCAGTGAGCATGTGTACACGAGCAGGGGAATTGCACCCCTACCTCATAGTGTAGACATAGCCTTAAACAGTGCCCTGGCGCTTGGAATCCTCCCTGTTGTTCATGAGCATCTCTGTCAGACTTGGGAAACTTCTGTTCAGTCCCCTGCTATTTCTTCTCCTGCCCCCATCCCATTCCCCTTTGTCTCAGGGCTCGTCTACACTAGCTGGTTGTGAGAGAGAGAACCCATTTTCCCTTTATTTACACACACAACCTCCCCTCTTCTCTCCCCCCCCCCCCCCCCGTGGAAAAGGCATTTGGGTTTTTTTTTTTTAAGTGGGCTTTTATTCCTACTGGAACAATCTTACACCAGGACTAAAAGCTTCATAGAAAATGTTAAAATGGAAAGGAGCGAATTTTTTTCTAAGACTTCTCCCCATATCTTCCTCCCCAACTAGCTACGTGATTGGCAGCTTATGCTCAAGAATGGAACAGTGGAGGTTAAGCGGTGGGGTGGGGGGGCTGTCAGAGCTGAGGAAGGCTGGTTTGTGATTTAGCTGGTTTTGCTCTTTCACCCAGGCCAGCCGGGAAGGGGAGTGCAGCAAAGATGACTCACTGCCTGAGGGCTGGGCACACCTCATATTGCTGAAGAACTATACTGCTGGCCAAGTAATAGGCTTCTAAGTGGCCAATCCAGTTCTTGCCTGAAAGGATACTAGTATCCATGCAGGGTTCTGAGAGTTGGGGAGTTTAAAGTGGGGCTGAAATATAGTGAAGCCAGCAACGGACAAAGGAGTTTGACTCCCACCTTCCCAGTGAGTCAAGAAAAATAGCATCTCTTAGATATTTATCTGGCTTGTTTTACCATAATATCTGAGTGCCTCACAATCTTAAATATCAGAGGGGTTGCCGCGTTAGTCTGGATCTGTAAAAGCGGCAGAGAGTCCTGGGTCACCTTATGGACTAACAGATGTATTGGAGCATAAGCATTCATGGGTGAATACTCACTTCTTCAAATGCATGTCGTGGAAATTTCCAGAGGCGGGTATAAATATGCAAGCAAACTTAAATATATAATTCCCATGCACCCCTGTGAGACACAGCAGTGCTGTCAGCTCCAAACAGAAAAATCAGTTCTGTGCAGAGCACTGTTTATCTCTTATGGCCACTAAAGATTGTTGTTGCTGGCTTCTCCAGCGATTCAAGGTCAGGTGCCTCAAGGAAAATACACACTTTGGGTTTGTCCTGGGAAGTCAGATCACGCAGCTGAGCTCATTCCAATTCAGAGAAATGGAGTCAAATGCCAACTGCAGAAAGGATGTTGCTTTGCATAGTTAAAAACTTGCAGCTCCAAGTCTCTGATCCAGTTATCTAGTGATACGTAGGCAGCAGAAGAGTGACCAGATATAAGCCGATCGTGCATAGGATCCTAATCCTGGTTGAACCCTCCTGCTCACCCCGCCCTTGCTTGCATTCCAGAAGGTGCAGCCAGAAGTCAGCATGGCAGATTTATTAATTTGCAGGGCTGCTCCCTGATACAAGTTGTTGTATCAAAGGCAGTTTTACAGCAATCTGTCCAAAGCCGATTACTTGACGCCTGCTCTGGGTAGTTTTCAGTTTGTGGAGTTCTCAGCATTATTTCCCCAGAATGCTTTGTCTTCCCATCTCCAAAAAATAATCATCCCTGGAAAGTTAGTGCCTTACGAAAGGTCCCAGCCTCTTAAGACTTAGAGCTCCAAGGCAGAGATTGTGAGGCAATTTGGATGTCCAATACTCATTAATTTTAATGTGAATTGGTTGCTACAATCATAGACTTTAAGGCCAGAAGGGACCATCTTGGTCATCTAATCTGACCTCCTGCACATCACAGCCGCAGAACCTCCTCTACCTCATCCCCTAACCTCTGGCTGAGTTACTGAAGTCCTCGAATTATGATTGAAAGACTTCAATTACAGAGAATCCACCATGTGCTCTTGTTCAGACCAACAAGTGTCCCATGCCCCACGCTGCAAATGAAAGGAGGGGAAAAACCCTCAAGGTCTTTGCCAATCTGACGTGGGGGGAAATTCCTTCCAGACCCCAAACAGTGATCAGACCCTGTGCATGTTAGAGAAACCCACCAACTGGACACCTGAGGTAAGAATTCACTATAGAAACTCAGAGCCTTCTCTGTCTAGTGTTCCATCTCCAATGGCTTTGAAAATTTCAGCTCAAATATACTGAGTATTAAATGAAATGCTGCTGAAAGAATAGAAATAGGTAGGATCCCAACCCCCAAACCACAGCAAAGCCCTGATTTAAAAAAAAAAACAAAACTGGCCAAGGATCCCGACAGGATGTAATAGGATTTGCTGGGCTGTGTTTTCAGCTGAAAAGTGGATCCTGAATCCCTGGCCAAGCACACAGGGTTGGGTCGGATCTGTGTCTGAGCACCCAAACGCGGCAAAGTCCCCTCCAACCTGAGCTGCTTGCTTGCTTTGTTTTGTTCTTTGCTTTCAGATTAAAAATGAAGGGTCAAAGAATTGCCTGGATGTTGGCGAGAACAATCACGGAGGGAAGCCGCTGATCATGTACCCTTGCCATGGAATGGGAGGCAATCAGGTATGCAATCTGTGCAAATGTGTCCCACCTGCTTTCACCCTATCCCACCCCCCACTGAAATAGGAAAGCCCAGAGCTGGGAGAAGGAAGAAAACCCAGCCTTTCCATATTCACAGTTAAGATTTGAATCATGCACGGAACATGGGCAATTCTCCCTCCTTCATACCTCTTCTTATTTAAACAAGTTATTTTATTTCAGTAAGGACAATAACCTCCATTCAAGTCCTGAGCCTGAATGGTCTTCGCCCCAAACAGCTGAAGTCCATGGCGCTTCAGCGACACACTGTGCCTCTCTGCCTTTCATCTGAGGATTTCTAAACACTTTACAGTGTGAATTAAAGCCCCCTTTCAGAACTGTCCCAATTTTCTGTTTGTTTCCAGGCTGAACCAAACCACTGAAGAAAAAAAAATTGTTTTGGATCAAACAAACCAATTCATTCAAACCGAAACAAAATGTTATGTTTGACTTTTAGCAGTTTTAATGTAAAATTCTATCCCAAAAGCATATTAGAAGTGTTGAAACAACCGTTAAGATTTTTTTCCTGATTCTCTGTTTTGTTTTTTACCGAAAGAATTTGGTGAATTCGTAAAATATTTTGGTCTGTCTGAATCTTCATTGTTGGCAGTAAAAATGTCATCCAAAAAATTCACCTTAGCTCTACTCCCTTTTTCCATCATGAAGTAGGTTGTTATCCCTAGCGATGGTAGAGGATGGGGAACATAAGAATGGCCATACTGGGTCAGACCAAAGGTCCATTCAGCCCAGTATCCTGTCTACCGACAGTGGCCAATGCCAGGTGCCCCAGAGGGAGTGAACCTAACAGGTAATGATCTAGTGATCTCTCTCCTGCTATCCATCTTCACCCTCTGACAAACAGAGGCTAGAGACACCATTCCTTACCTATCCTGGCTAATAGCCATTAATGGACTTAACCTCCATGAATTTATCCAGTTCTCTTTTAAACCCTGTTATAGTCCTAGCCTTCACAACCTCCTCAGGCAAGGAGTTCCACAGGTTGACTGTGGGCTGAGTGAAGACAAACTTCCTTTTATTTGTTTTAAACCTGCTACCCATTAATTTCATTTGGTGGCCCCTAGCTCTTACATTGTGGGAACAAGTAAATAACTTTTCCTTGTTCACTTTCTCCACACCACTCATGATTTTATATACTTCTATCATATCCCCCCTTAGTCTCCTCTTGTCCAAGCTGAAAAGTCCTAGCCTCTGTAATCTCTCCTCATAAGGGAGCTGTTCCAAACCCCTAATCATTTTAGTTGCCCTTCTCTGAACCTTTTCTAATGCCAGTATATCTTTTTTGAGATGAGAGGACCATATCTGTATGCAGTATTCAAGATGTGGGCATACCATGGATTTATATATGGGCAATAAGATATTCTCTGTCTTATTCTTTATCCCTTTTTTAATGATTCCTAACATCCCGATTGCTTTTTTGACTGCTGCTGCACACTGCGTGGATGTCTTCAGAGAACCATCCATGATGACACCAAGATCTTTCTTCTGATTAGTTGTAGCTAAATTAGCCCCCATCATATTGTATGTATAGTTGGGGTTATTTTTTCCAATGTGCATTACTTTACATTTATCCACATTAAATTTCATTTGCCATTTTGTTGCCCAATCACTAAGTTTTGTGAGATCTTTTTGAAGTTCTTCACAGTCTGCTTTGGTCTTAACTATCTTGATGGTAGACGATGGGGAAGGAGTGAGACAGGGAAAATAATTCTGACCCAGTTCACGCAGCCCAGCAGTGGCTGATCTAAGCTCAGGAGACCTGATTTCTAGTCTTCTGCTCCAACCACTAAATCTGTCACCCCACTCTGCCAGCTCCATTGGGTGCCTGACCGTTTTGCTTTTGAATATGCTCCACTAAATTGCACTTTTTTTTTTTTTTGGTGTCCCCCGGCAGCTCAACTTGGTGCAGCCCTCTGTCCCTCTCTGGTGGTGCCTAGACTGCCCAAAAATCAATGAGCCTGCCTCAGCCTTGTCTAACAGCTGGATCTTTCGGGTTGAATGGTAGAGGCTCTTGCATTAAGATTCAGAGGTCTCCGTTTCAGTCCCGACTGCTGAAGACAATGACAGGGCCGTCGGCATTACATCACAATTGGAGATGGGATTCACTCCACTGGTGGTGTGAGCAGGCTGCCCCTTGTCCATCCGGTATCCAAGCTGCTCACTGCACAACTTATTGGGGGATTAGATATCTCATCAAGGGCAGGGGGTGGCTCCTTCAGACTTGTGGGGACCCACTGGCATTGGTGTGCGCTTGATTATCAACTGGCATAAGAGCGAATTCTCCAAGCACCTTGAGTTAATTTTGGTGCTGCCTTCATTAGTGAAGAAGGCAGGCTGTTTCCGTGTAGCATGGGTGACCGTTGGATAGCAGCAGCCTAATCTCCCCTGTCTGGTCTTGGTTCTCAGTATTTTGAATACACGTCCCAGAAGGACCTGCGGCACAACATCGGCAAGCAGCTCTGCCTCCGATCCGGCTTTGGGCCGGTGGAGCTGGGAGACTGTCACTTCACAGGAAAGAACTCGCGTGTTCCAGGAAATGAAGAATGGGAACTGACCCACGTAAGTAAAGAACACGGGCTCAATGCACTCAGAAGCAGCAGTGTCTTTCCCTCTTCCTCACCTCTGACGAGAGTTTCTTAGGTGCCTTGCAGAAGCCTGTCTTGTGCTTTGCTGTCAAACTGGGAGGGTTCCTTCGGGAGGCATTGGGACCTACTGGGGAGAGGACTGGACTGGGCCGCAGGAGTGGAGCCATGCAAGTAACCAACCTTATTTTGGATCTCTGGCAGTTCCAAAAAATCAAAGAATTTTGGTTTGGGTCAAACAGTTTTGTTGCAATTTGCAGCTTTTTAACAAAAAAAAAAATTTCCTTCAATTTTAAATTTTTTAAGTGAAAAGTCATTTTGGATTGGAAAATTTAAACATTTTGTTCTGAAAATGTCAAAACAAAACTTTTGAATTTTTCCAACTGAAATAATTGAGCCAAAATTGACACAAATTTGTGAAGTGTTTCAGTCGATCCAAATCTGCATTTTTTTTTTTCCCCACCAAAAAAAGTCTTGGCTGAAAAATCTGGCCCAGATCTACTCCGGAGACCTGGTTTTTATTCCTCGGTTCGCTGGGTGACCTTGGGCAAGTCACGTCGCCTCCCTGTGCCTCAGTTTCCCCTTCTGTACAATGGGGATAACAGTGGTCCTTTGTAAAGCACTTTGAGATTGGTGGATGATGTGAGCAAGGTATCTCTATTTGTTTTTTAGGATCGTCTGATTAAAAACATAGCCTCTAACATGTGTTTATCTGCAAGAGATGAGCATCCCTCTATGACTTCCTGTAACCCCTCGGATTCTTATCAACAGTGGTTCTTTACCCAAGCAACATAATGAAGACAAAACCAGTGTCAGCAAGAAATGTGCCAGCCCATCTCACTTTGAGACCTTGATTCCAAACTGCACTCAGGAAAACAGAAGCTAAGACTCTCTCCTTTTATTTAAAAGAAGTTAACGTCTTAAATATGCTGCATTTCACAGTTGCCTTTAATTCTACTCTGTGCCTTTGGGATAAGACTGTGTAATACGTGGAGATTGTTGTACCACTTTTTCTGAGAGACTAAGCAAACTTCTTGTTTGCAGCCTACGTGAGTGTCATATTGTAACATGTCCAAAGATAAATAACATGGGACCAACTACATCGATAATTGCATGAATGATCAATCCCACTTCCTAAGCCCCGGAAAATTGGACCACAACCAGTCAGAATGCAAGGGATGAGACTGAATACAACTAAGAAGCGGTGCCAGCTGGCCTTTGAATATGTCTCATGCCAAAGGTGGTACCCGGTGTCCTCTAGTTATCACATAGGCTTGCGTGCAAAGGCAGATCAGGATGCTGCAAGAAGAAATTGCAGTGTCACGGTCAGGAGAGCATCTCCATGCTCTCTAGCACAGGCTCTTGTTTAATGAGATTTTTAACCTTGAAGGTGGAGATAGGTGTGTGCATTTAAAACATAACACCAGGGTGCATTGTTGTGTGAAATCCCAGCCTGTTGCACCAAATGAAACCTGTGCGTTACCTTGGGAGCTCTTGCCAGCACAAGGAGATAGTAGTACTAATTGTGTTGCAAATAAAAAGGACTTTCTGTGCAGTTAATCCCCAAAGGAGAGATGATGAATCATTTACTTGGCCCATGCAGGGAAGTGGCCTGGTGATGGTGCTGCTAAGCATAGCCTAGCAGGGGAAAGCCTGATATGGTTGAGAGACGGGTACCATATGAGCCCGCGAGATCATGTTGGTGGCTGGACTGAAGGTTATGGAATAGCATGCAGGGTATGGGAGGAGGAGTTTTTTTTTTTTTTTTTTGAATCAGTGGATCAGTGCACATGAAACACAGATCCTGAGATCCAGCAAGCTCATGGCTTTTGATTTCCTTGTGCAATGAAGCAATCCTACCATCTATAACTTACAGCGTGTGCCAGTCGGAGGAAATATGTAGTGTCACTTTTATCTTGGGCTGTCTGCTTCAATTTCCTGCTTGGGTTTTGGTCCTTTATAAAAATCTGCATCCAAGGAACACCTCCGATGACTCATCCCCACCCATAGACCGTTTAAATTAGGACGTGCACAAGCAGAGCAACTGGTTTCTACGGGATACATTGATGCAAATCCCAGGACGCGCGCACTCCAGAATCTGGGGCGTTCTTTACTGGAGGGCTTAGTTTAAACTCTGATTCTGTTCCCCCTGTTGGATCCCCCTGCCTCCCGAACTAAACCGTGCAGCTAGTTTCTCTAAAATTTTAGCATCTTGTGGAAAGATGGCCTAGTAGGAGATTGAATGTAAGCCCTTTCTTTGAGACTTGAATACTGTAGTTTCCTTTAGTTTCTAATCGATTCCATTTCCATTTTAATTGAAAAATCTTCCTGGAAATGCGGGAGGAGACCTACCTTTGGGCATATGACCTGAACCAAAAATAAAGAGATGTTCTATTTTACAAAAGAATCCAGTCTAGATTTGGTTCCTTTGGAGCAGATGGTCCCAGTTTGCTGCAACAGGCCCTAGAGGCACAAACACTTCACCCAGCTGTTTCTGAGTTGGCACACCTTTCAGTTCAGTTATTAACCACACGCATTATGATTCTGCCGGCACTGCACACAGTACTAGACCGTCCCTGCCCCAGAGAACTCCATCTAAATAGAAAAGACGGACACAGGGAGCGGGGAGGAAGGGGATAGAACACACTAACAGAGTGAATAATGCAATGGTGGTAAATATCATATTAGTTCCACAATTTATTTAATTTCTTTTAGGTTTGGGGTGGGGAAGGGTTAGATCTAAACGAGACTTTGTCGGCATGATACCCTAGACACGTGATGCTAAACTAGTGCCGGGGGTGGGGAAGCAAACTCCCAGGCCCTGCTGGTCATGTCCACCCAGAAGGACAGGGCTACATGCTGCCCCCTTCTGGGGTTTGAGCTCCTGTGTCCATTTCCTCAACGCCGGCCCTTCCTGGATGCCAGGGGCAAGTCACAACGTCGCCCCATGGCGCAGCTTGTTTCTAGGCATAGCAGACTCTCAAAGCGTTCGCTCTGGTGCGCTCAGATGGTTTGCGAGGCGCTTGATTTGGACGGGCGGGGTCTGTTCCGGCACATTCAGGCTCCCTAGGCCCTTTGGAGCACCTTGTTGAGTTGGAGGGATCTTTCCCAGATGGGAAGGAAAACCTCCCAGCTCTAAAAGCTGATGCTAGAGCTCTCACTCTGGTATGGCCCCTTTAGGTGGCACTCTTACCCCATCAGCCTCTTTAGCCCTCGATCTCAGACACACTACAGAGTCGTGACTGCCTCCAAAGGACTCGGGTGTCCTCTTTGCTGCTCGATAGGTTCACTGTCCTGCAAGGAAAATAGGATCGGACACGAGCCCCTAACCCTTCATGTTGGGGAAGGCCTCCCCTCTGTCCCTGATGACTCCAGAACAGTCTCCTGGAAGCAGTCTTGCTTTGTAATTCCTAGAGGCTGCTGAGAGTATTAAAGGGCCTGAGTTCAGCATGAAAATGCCAGCCAATTCAATGTGTCCTAGAAAAACAGCCTGGATTGCTGACTCGACCATGCCAGCTCAGCTGTCCTCTGTTGGAGCCTCTTTATACTGTGGATGTATTTTAGTGGGGCACCAGTGCCCTGTCAGTTTCCCTTTGTCCCAAGTGTCTTCGGTGGGTGTCGCAAGTCCCCACGTCCTTGTCCTGTTTGAGTGGCCAACAGACTTAATTTGATGGATCTCTATCTTATGTACTTACATGGCACCCTTTCCCATAGTCTCTGAGCACTTCAGAATTTGTAAATGTACTTATCTTCTCAATACCTGTGGAGCTGGGCAGTGCTCTTTTTCCCCCATTGTACAGATGGGGAAGTTAGCTTTGTGGCTATTGCAGGCAACTGAGAGTCGAGAGAGTTAGGTTCTTGTCGGGACTCTGCCATTGACCAGCTTTGAGACCGTGGTCAACTCGCTTTGCTGCACTGTGGTTTAGATTCCCCCCCTGGAGAACGGGTCTTACACAGAGTAATAGAGCTCAACTAATGTTGGTCGAAAGCTTTGATAGCCAGCGGTAGAAGATGCAAAGCATGATTATACCTGCCCTGAGCTATTTGATTTGGAGTTGGAGAGGGAGGCATCCTTGGATCGCATGAGTTTCGCACTGAAGCGGAGTCAGAGAAAAGTTGCACGACTGAGACAATTTGCATAATCAGTGCACTATTTTCAGTTATTGCAGTCCTACCACATTCTGTTTCCCCTCCCAGGCGTACCCCAGACATACACTGGTTTGGCGTATCCCATCTCATCCCTGTTCATAAAGTCCCTTCCTCTGATTAAAACTCCCCACCTACCAATGCAATCGAATGGTGCTGGAAATGCTACTCGATTGTTGTCACAAAGTTCAATATCAACCGTCTTGAGTTTGTCTTCTCAATTTCAGAGTCTGATGAATTACTCTGAAGACGGACAGATATTCACAGCCCATTTCTTCTGAATAATGCTGCCTACTGGATGTGGTGTGTTTAAATATCAACTTATTAGTTATTGCATAGACAGTTTTCTGTTGCCTGATCTACTGAAGGTCTATTGATTAGATTCCCTGTTTAGGTTCCCCAGTTTGCATTCTGTAATTTGATATGTTCTTGTCCCAGGATCAGACCCAACATTTATCAGAGTTACTGGTTTGGGAGCCCAGCAATGACACCATTCGCACGCGGCGGGAAAGACCACCTGCAATTGTAAGAGTTTTATTACTACCATGTAGTAATAAATAAATAAGTAAAACCATCCAAACAAGTAAAGTGAGATAATAGAACACCGTAAGGATGACCTGGACCATGACATGTATATACTCACTCTGTCCTGGGGAGAGTTCTAAGTACTGAGACAGATCCTAGTCTGACCCGGGCATGCCAATGAAGAACTCCAAGGGCTTTACCTAAGGCCAAATGTTGAATAAGCCCCATGTCCTTCATGCATATATATGACTACCTCCTCCCTCTATAATATCTTAACTTCCGTACCCTCATAATGTTGGGGTGTCCTCCTAGAGATTAGTCTATTAATTCGATGAAAGCCATTCACATATACATCAATTGCATTAATGTGGTTACCTGCGGTTAGGCATCTGCTGATATTCCCATCCCAAAATACCCTGAACTGCTACAAACTGCCTTCTTGCAGATACCTGTCTGCAGTTTTCAACACCTGTGATCATTACAAAACAGCAAACAAAGCCTGATGTCATCTTGTGACTTAGCGTTACTATTCGTTCACTTACTTATGCTAACTTATTAAGCAAGTACTCCTGTGCAGGCTGTCAGGCCTTGTACTTATGCTAACTGCTTAAGCTATTCTTACAGGTCTATAGGTTTCTTGCTTTTCTGCAGTCAGTTCCTTACCCCTTTATCTTATTCTTACTTCACTGCTACGTTTCCTGGCATGTTGTACTTCAACAAAGATAAAAAGCAGAAATCCAACAGGTGCTAAGGGTGTTGGGATTTTACCCAAGTGCCTGTTGCTATTTTTGGGTAGCCGTTGATTCGGAATGTCTGTATCTCAAACTAGTTTACACAGTGATCACTCTGTAGGATAATTTGTGCTGTGGGACCATGAAGCCTGTTCTTATTCCAGAACAAACATTGGTTACTTAAAAACACAGTTGAACGGCTCTTAACGTCATGTCAAATGGGAGAAACCAAGATCCAACCTGAACTACGGTGTCGCTAGCATGCACCTCTGTAGTAATGAAATATGTTAGCACTGCTCACAAGAACCAGGAAGTTTGATAGGTAGGAGGAATTTGTTAGATTCCTGTTGTAGGTAGTAAATAAGCTTAGAGAAAATGGCGGGGGTCTCACATCTTGGACGTAAAGAAACAAATGCCTATTCTAGATTTTTTTTACTGAAAATATAAGTACGAAATCTAGAACTGTTTCAGTAACAAATCTCTACCGTGGATGCAGTTATATCGGTATGAACTTGCCTTATATTGATCATAGCTTATTCCCTTTGCTGTATGGGAATAAGTTATAAGTACAAGGCACCACTTAAACTGGTATAACTGTGTCCACACTGGTGGGTTGGTACTGCTTAACTATAGTTCATGCATTGTACAACTTGTGTGTAGGCAAAGCCTGCAAAGGCATATGTCCTATGGTGGTGGGCATACGGTGGCAGTTTGCTGTAAGTAGCTATAACGTGGGACTGAGACTTGGGAGCCCTGGGTTGTGTTCCTGGTTCTGCCACTGGCCTGCTGGGTGACCTTGGGCAAGTTGCTCCACCTCGTGCCTCCATTTCCCCATCTGTAATAACGATACTGACCACCTTGGTAAACACTTGGAGATCTACTGATGAGAAGAGCTAGGTATTAATTTATTATTATGGAAGTGCCTAAGACAGACAGTGGTGGGTGCTCATGAGTTACGTTGCCTGAGACCTATACTATACTGAGACACATCAACACAGGCGGGAAGCTATCGATTTAGAAAGTGTGTTCCAACCACTACGCAGAACCAAATCCAATGGAAACTATACTGAAGAAATGTTGTGTCTAAATTATCTTCCCCCGATCACTCAGAAGCAGGGTTGACCTCGTCTGTTCTGGGAGGCACTTACCATGAATTTGGGCGCCTTTAGGAAGGCGTCTCAGTGGGGTGGCTGATGTCGGGGATCTCCAGAGCTGCAAGCCTCTGTAGCTTGGCGCGAAAGGGCCCTCCTGTATAGCTGGGGATGCGTCATGTATGCTCTCCAGTGGGCCGCATAAACACGTTTTGCCAACAGCATGCTTTGTGACCCAATTACAGCTACTTTCCAATGGCCACAATCACATGTGTTTATCACAACAGCTCCCCAAACACACAGGAAGCTGGAAGTTTTAAGGCTATAAATACACATAGCTGCAAAACAGCATGGTGGTCATATCAATAGGAAACATGTAAAGTGGTTATCCGGTCACAATATATTTATAACTCATGTAACGGCCAAACAAGGCTCTGAGGCCCAGTGTGGTACAAATACAACTTTCACAAGGCCAGTCATAACACAAGTATAATGTGTAATATAGACAGGATCTTAGCTGGGGTTTATGTAACGGGGCCAAAGCCTCGTCCATGTTAAAGGTGCAGACTCAGTTACGTGACCTGATGTCAATACGCATCGGTCCAATCCACAGTAGAAACTTTGACCATATTGTAAGTGGTCAGGGAACACTTGGGTTGCGAGGATCTGCTGTAACAGTTTTAAGTGCAGATCTGGCTATTAAAGGGAAACGTGAAGATCGGGTATAATAGAGCAAGGGAGAGAATAAATATATTGAATCTTGTTAGTCATGTATGCTCTGTGTTGGGGTATGTGGGATAAGGGACAAGAATTCTTAAGTGCCCCTTGTAGACTTCTTCAACTGATCTTTTGCTTGATCACGTATATGTCTCTCTGGTTCTCCAAGCCCTGAAGATGCCTCCCCCTAGGTCTACTACTGAGAATTTTTCAAAGTATCTTAAGGAAGAAAAACACCCATCGCCTACTGGATTTCAAGTGGCACCAAACTCCCTTCAATCTTCTGAAAATCCCAGCTTATCCAAATCAGGCAGAACAAGGGCTTAAAGCTGAGTCTCCCACATCCAGGTGCGTGTCCTGACCACTGGGCTATTGGCTAGTCAAGGAGAAGGCCTTCATGTTGTTTTCCATGAAAAATTTCAAAAGGTCTCGTTTTTGTCCTGATGCAGAGCAAAAACAAATTCCAAAACCTTCATTTTTTTCATTTTTTTTTTTTTTTTTTTTTTTTGCAAATGGAATTCTTGCCCTAATCCTGAGCACCCACAATTTCAGCTGGGGTCAAGAGGAGGTCCAGGTATGGAAAAACTGGTCCCAAGTTTGTTCAGGCACACCCACCCCTAACTCACTTGATTCTGCACTTCCAGTTTCTCAGAGCATGTTCTATATTGGTAAAATCTTTTTTTTCTTTTTCTTTAAACTCTCCAGAGCATTTATTGGTATCCGGTGCCCTCAATGCCAGGTCTCAGCCTTGACCTTCGCCGGAACCAAGAATAAAATGTGTGTTTTCTTGGAAATGGAGCCAAGAATCCGTTTGTAGTTCCAAATCACCTGCATTTCTTCCCATGCCTTCCTCCCCACATGTATCTATTTAACACCAGCCATGGTATGAAAGACAAGACCCAGAAGCATATAGGAAGTAGAGTGACTGAGATTGTCCCTACCATTCGCTCATGATGCTGAAACTACTCCTCCTCGCTGTCTTTGTCCTCTGTGGTAAGTGGGTTTTTGTTTTTTTGAGGCGGTGATGTCTTGCATTCTGGTGCTAAGAAACTTATTGGTTACCACCCACATTGCAGTAGCATTTAGAGGCCTCAGCCAGGCTAGGGACCTGTTGTGCTTGGCCCTGTACGAACATAGAAAATAAAAATCCCCACCCCAAAGAGGTAGCTGGAGGGGCACATCCAGAATAGGTATTAGCAGGGGCAAATCCACCAAAGTCTAAGCTAGGACTGAAGTCTTCATGGAAATGTGCTTTGCAGTGGCTGGTTTTGCCCCACTGTGCACTGATCTACATGAGAAAATCCTCCATCACCTCAGAAGAGACACTGTGTCCATTTTGCCTCCAGAAGTTTAATCTCTTCCCTAGTCCCCCTGGGCCTCACAGGTTTCAAAGTTGCTCTGCTCCCAACATTTGCCATTGGGGCCCTTCAGACTTTCAAGAGGTCCACACGCAATGTGTATCCAGTTCTCCTGGAAAACTGGCCCCCCCACTGTGGATGCCAAGTAAGGTTGAACATCTGCCCCCTCATCATTAAAGCTGGGATGCCTGGCACTCAGAGCGCTTCATTTCCCTTCTCAAACTCTATCTCTGAGGAGTTGGAGCAGGAAAATGTTCTCGGCAAGAAAGGGAGTAAAAAAAAGTCTAGATTCCCATCCTGTGATGGAAACAGCAGAGAGGCGATGGGATTTGGGGTTCCTCCTGCAATACGCAGAGGCTATTCCAGATGTTGTTCCTTCTTTACTCCTGAAGGACACTGCTTGGAAGAGTCGCTGGAAGACAATGGGCGCGTTGTCGGAGGGAGCAATGCACAGCGTGGTGCATGGCCATGGCAGGTGGGTACAATGTCTACTTCTAAGTCCCTTCTCCATCTAACTCTCCTCCCAGTAATGACCCAAGGAGGGTGCGCAGAGATAGGATGGCGTACAGAATACCTGTGAGTGCAGATTAGCCGCTCCCAAGGGGGATTTGCCTTTGCCAGTTCTAAAGCCCCAGCTGGTGGGGGAAGAGAGGGGTGTGCCTGTCTGGGATGATGGGCACCTGAAGTGGGCATCTCTATTCTTTGCTGTTACTGCCTTGGCATAAGGCCACGTTTCCAGTTTAGCTTTGTGAAGCATGCCTCTGTGCGGACCCCAGCCCTGACCAGTCAGTCCTTAGCTTCTTGTTTGGTGGTGGTGGTTTTTTTGTTTCACTAGGTAGTGTCTGGAGCCCCAGCCAACCAGCTACTTCAGCCCCACTATCTATAGGGCACACCCTGCACAGACCAAGTCCATAAACCATGGCCCAATGCTCGAACCAGCTAATGTGATGTGCCTGGTGGATATAGAAGCAAGACTGTTTCTTCATGCACCTGATGCACGTTCACTTTGGGCTGGTGAGAGGTTGTTGCTCCTTTGTGTGAGAGATTTCCTCTTTAAAATGCAGCTCTTCTCTTCCACCATGAGAACATCAGAATGGCCATGCTGTGCCAAACCAATGGTCCATCTGGCCAGGTATCCTGTCTGCTGACAAAAAGAAAAGGAGAACCTGTGGCACCTTAGAGACTAACCAATTTATTTGAGCATAAGCTTTCGTGAGCTACAGCTCACTTCATCAGATGCATTCAGTGGAAAATACAGTGAGGAGATTTATATACACACAGAACATGAAAAAATGGGTGTTATCAAACACATTGTAAGGAGAGCGATCACTTAAGATGAGAACCAATTTATTTGAGCATAAGCTTTCGTATAAGCTCATCTTAAGTAATCACTCTCGTTACAGTATGTATGATAGAACATGAAAAAATGGGTGTTATCATACACACTGTAAGGAGAGCGATCACTTAAGATGAGCTTACACGAAAGCTTATGCTCAAATAAATTGGTTAGTCTCTAAGGTGCCACAAGTCCTCCTTTTCTTTTTGCGAATACAGACTGACACGGCTGCTGCTCTGAAACCTGTCTTCTGACAGTAGCCAATGCCAGATGCTTCAAGAGGAATGAACAGAATGGCAATTATTGAGTGATCCAGTCCCACCATCTGGCAGTGAGACTGAGCGGAAACCCAGAACATGGGGTTGCATCCCTGACCATCTTGGCTAATATCCTCCATGACTTTATCTAATTCTTTCTTAAATCCAGTTATAGTTTTGGTCTGTACAACATCCCCGGCAATGAGTTCCACAGGTTGACTGTGCGTTGTGTGAAGAAGTGCTTCCTTTTGTTTGTTTTTAAGCCTGCCAGCTATTCATTTCATTGGGTGACCCCAAGTTCTTGTGTTATGTGAAGGGCTAAATAACACTTTCACTTTCTCCACACCAGTCATGATTTTACAGACCTCTATCATATCACCCCTTAGTCATCTCTTGTCTAAGATGAACAGTCCTAGTGGGGTGGGAGGAGGTATTGTTTCATATTCTCTGTGTGTATATAAAGTCTGCTGCAGTTTCCACCGTATACATCTGATGAAGTGAGCTGTAGCTCACGAAAGCTCATGCTCAAATAAATTGGTTAGTCTCTAAGGTGCCACAAGTACTCCTTTTCTTTTTGCGAATACAGACTAACACGGCTGTTCCTCTGAAACCAGTCCTAGTCTTTCTATTCCTTCTCATGTGGAAGCTGTTCCATACCCCTAATCATTTTTGGTACCCCTTCTCTGGACCTTTTCCATTTTGAATGTATCTTTTTTTGAGATGGGGCAACCGGAACTGCACACGATATTCAAGGTGTGGATGTGTACCATACATTTATATAGCGGCATTATTATATTTGCTGTCTTATTCTCTCTCTCTTTCCCTTTCGTCACCCCAAATCTAGATTTCCCTCCAGTATAACTCTGGTGGACAATGGTATCACACCTGCGGTGGGACGTTGGTGAGGCAGAACTGGGTGATGACTGCAGCTCACTGCGTGGACAGGTAATGGAGGCCCCAGTGGTTGGTTTATCTACCCATTAAAGAGACTTTTTAATCAGATGCGGGTCAGGGTCTAAAGCAGGAGTGGGCACTGGCAATGCACCAAGCAAGGAGGGGAGTTGCTCTCTGAAGCAAAGGAGAAGATGGGGAGGGGGTGCTTTTAGCAGAGGATGAGTTGGGCTCCCCCTTCTCTTAACCCTTGAGCGGGACGTCTGTTGTACGCCTGCAGCTTTCTTGTCCACCCATGAGGATGCATGACAGGCAGCCATTGCTTGAGCGTGTATGATGGCCAACACACCGGGGATTAAACCAGAGTCCTCCAGAACTGAAATCAGGAACTGCTACAGCTTGAGTGAAAGACTCAAGGCTCTGTAGCTAGGGGCTGTAGCAACTCCTACCTCTGGGGATCAGCACAGAGGGGGGAACCTGTACCCATAGGTGGCTGGTGAAAATACTGGGGTGGGGGGGAAGGTGAGCCTGCCCGCCCCACTCTCACCCCGCCATGGCGGAGCCTGTCCCGCAGGGCTGGGCCCGGCTCCCCGCTCTGACCCATTGGCTCTCAATCCTCACAAATTCAGAGCCCACCCCAGCATCACATGAGGCGTGGGTTCACACGCAGGTGGGGCCATTACCCACAACATCCCTCCCCTTTCCTGGCCCTGGCGCCGTTGGATGCAAGGTCTCAGGATTCCCCCTGCCTTTGGGACTCCCTTTCTCCCCCACAATCACCTCAGGATCCCCTTTCCCATTCCCAGGGAGCGCTGCTCAGGAGCCGGCAATCCCTGCTGGGACTGAGGAATCTAGCTCCACTTGCTGGGAATCATCTAGTGTGTAGGCAGGGCCCTCCCCCTGTGATACCTTTGCCTGGCATGGCTGGACAGAGAAATTTCGGCGATGCGGGGGGGGGCTAAGCCTCCTCTAGCCCTAGCCAGTGCCTGTCTATGCCTGTAGCACACAATGACACAGCGTGTTATATACGCACCCTCCTGTGTATAATTCTGCCCATTCCAAGTAGCATCTGAAACTACCAACAATGCAGTGTTGTTAGTCTTGAACATGTCAGATCCAAACATGACTTAAGTAGCTCATCCTCCTTCCTGGTGGGGCCTAGGTGTGCCAAAACACACACTTCCTCTCTTTCTCACCCCACCGCAGGGCAGAATCCAACCACTGAATGTTTCCGGGGCGGGTGCTAGTTACAGCTGGCTGAAAAATGCTAATTATTTTCCCAGTAAATGTATACCGTTCTTCCCCCCCCCCCCCTGTATTTTGTCAGAATTTCCCACATTTTCAGTGAAAATTCTTGGGTTTTCACTGCGGGAACCTTGTTCACCTCAAATTTTAGTTTTTGGCACACACAAAAAAAGCCACCTTTCATCCAAAGGGATATTGGGGAAGACTTTGACTCCTAAGGCTAGTGAAGCCTGAGCCCCAGCAAGTCGAACACCAGCCCTGGTGACCCCATGAAAATTGGGTTGTCTCCCACAGTTTGAGAACTGCTGGACTAGATGACCTCTTAAACCAGACATTTTTGTGATTTTTCTGAGATTGTTTCAATGGAAAAATTTCAGCCAGCTCTAGAGTTAGGCAGAAATCTGTCCATTGTGCAGTTTATTTCACTAATTGCCCATTATAGGGTTTCTTGAATTTTCCTCTGGAGCAGCTGGGCTCTGGCTTCTCAGACAGGACTTTGTTCCTTTTTATCATGCGGCTATTTAATAATTCAAGGCCCAGTCCTGAGGCCTGTACTCAACCTTCAGTGAATTCCTGGAACTGATCCAGTATGGCGATTCCTATGTGATTCCTACTCGGGGAAAGGATGGACAAGTGGCTAAGGCACTAGTCTAGGACTTGGGAGATCAGGGTTTGGTTACCTGCTCTGCCACAGACTTCTTGTGTGATGTTAGGCAAATCATTTAGCCTCTCTAGGTCTCCGTTCCCCATCTGTAAAATGGGGTCAGTAATAGTTGCCTACCCCCCCCCCCCAGAGATGTTGCAAGGATAAAGATTGTGAAGATCTGGTAAGAAAGAGCTTTAGATGAGTTAGTTATTAACATTATGTTCAGCACCCTTCCCCTCAGAAGTAGAGAAAGGGGGGACTGGCTCATATTCCAATCGCATCACGATGCCGTCAGGACTTGGGGGCGAAGGGGGATTGATACCAAGTTGGCACCTTACAACACATCACAGCTTGTTCCTCTTCTCCACAGATCCTTGACTTTCCGGGTGGTTGCCGGAGAGTACAACCTGTATATGAACGATGGCATGGAGCAGTATTTGAGCGTGCGGAGTAAGGTCATCCATCCTCGTTGGAACAGCAACTCTGTTGCTGCTGGGTAAGGCAGCTCCTGTTTCACACCTGCATGGCTTCGGATAAGGGATTTCACGTGAAGGGTCACAAAGTCCGAGCTCCTTACACGCTGGAGAAATAAGAATGCGCTGCACTTGGCACTCCCTTCGTCTGAGCTACTCGGTGACGTACAGCCTGAGTTGGCCCCCAGTATAGACAGTTTTCAAAACCCTTGGGTGGAACCAGAACCCAAATGGATATCTTGGAGAAGGTCCCACTCAATAGTGTTCTTCGCTGGTATGACAGATCGGTTCAGACCAGAGCCGGATGGTCCAGGGCCTAAGGAGGTAGAGTTGCACAGGCAGAACAAACAGTGTTTGGAAATGAGGAAAGCAGACTCCAGTTTGGCCAGTGTCTTCCTACAGCTCTAATGGGTACCAGGGTAGCACTTGGGCCTGCATACTTTTTTCATACAGACCGTCCTGGGTAACCACCAGGATCCTCCGGCCGACTAGCTCAGGAGTGTGTAAACTTTTTGACGAGAGGGCCGCATCTGAGTATGGAAATTGTATGGCGGGCCATGAATGCTGATGAAATTGGAGGTTGGGGTGCAGGAGGGGGTGAGGGCTCCGGCTGGGGGTGTGGGCTCTGGGGTGGGGCCAGAAATGAGGAGTTCAGGGTGCGAGAGGGGGCTCTGGGCTGGGGCAAGGGGTTGGGGTGCGGGGGGGGAGGGGGGGAGGCCTTCAGCTGGAGGTGTGAGCTCTGGGGTGCAGGAGGGTAGGACTGAGGGGTTTGGAAAAAGGGAGGGGATCAGGGCTGGGGCAGGGGGTTGGGGCTCTGGAGGGGTCAGGGTGGCACTTACGTCAAGCAGCTCCCAGAAGCAGCGGCATGTCCCCCCTCCAGCTCCTATGCGGAGGTGCGGCCAGGCGGCTCTGCATCTGCCCATCCACAGGCATCACCCCTGCAGCTCCCATTGGTCGTGGTTGCCGGCCAATGGGAGCTGTGGGGGCAGCGCTTGGAGCGGGGGCAGCGTGCGGAGCCCCCTGGCTGCCCCATGTGTAGGAGCTGGAAGGGGGACACGCTGCTGCTTCTGGGAGCCGCACAGAGCCATGGCACACGTGGAGTGGGGCAAGCCCTGGAACCTGCTCCCCAGCAGAAGTTTGAGGGCTGGATTAAAAAGTCCGAAGGGCCAGATTCGGCCCCCGGGCCATAGTTTGCCCACCTCTGGACTAGCTGCTGGGGAGCTGGGTTTCTGGTGGTACTGGGTGCTTCTGGGTTGGGCTGGCAGTGGGCTCAGGTATTTTCTACCTTATCAAGCATCTGCTTAATAATACAAGGCCCAGTGCTGGGTCCTCGTCCAGTCCTCTGTGCTGTCCTTCGGTGGGAATGTGCCTGAGAGAGCTGACTTCTGAGTCCCTTCTTCTGTGCCTTCTTTAGGGGACATTAGGGCTCGGTTGCTCAAAAGAATGAAGAGTTCAGTGCTTAGTTCCAATCGGCTTTCAATCAGGGGTCAGCAACGTGCCCATGGTAAAAATTTTGTGGTCCATGGTAATTTTTCAAAAAATTGAATGACATAACCTCCACCCTCAGTGTCCATCACCAAGTACGGTCATTTTGTCAAGTGACCGTCGCACAACACGGTGGTCCCACCCCCTGCTTTCAATTGATTGGGGCTCCTTTGAAAGCCCCAGCCTCAGTTTTACCATCGGCGACAGCGGGGGTCACTTAAATGCAACCCCTTTGCCCGTGAAAGGCCGTTTGATGCGGTTTCCTTTGTTCTTCTGCAGCTATGACATCGCTCTGCTCCATCTCTCCCAGAGCGCATCTCTGAACAGCTACGTGCAGCTGGCCGCACTGCCCAGTTCAGGCCAGATTCTGCCAAACAACAATCCTTGCTACATCTCTGGCTGGGGCATGACCCAAAGTAAGTGCCGGAATTCAGGAACGTTCCAGAGGGGGCATGGGATGGCCCAGTGATTGAGGGCACAGACTTGGAGGTGGGTGAGGCATGGATGTGACTAGCATCCCCACTTTGCCCCACACTTCCTGAGAGTTTGAACAAACCCCAGACCGTTCTGTGCCTCAGTTTCCCCCTGTATAAAACAGTGGTGATCGCTCAGACTTGTTGCGACCCATGGCTTTGTTAACGGTTTGCAAAGCCCTTTAAAATCCTCCCATTAAATGTGTAATAGAAGAGCCAACGTATCACTTGTTACACAAGACCTGTGGGAAATTCCGGCCCTATTGGGAGTTTTGCCATTCGACGGGACCAGGATTATACCCTGGTCTGTAGTTTGGTGCATAAGATCTAAACCCTGTTTGCTCCCCCTCCAGAGGGAGCTTGGCCTCACTTCATTCCTCCTGGACAGTGGCGCAGCTAAGGGGAGGAGCGGCCGCTCCCGCACTGAGCAGAAGTGGCGCCTTGTCCATGTCTTGCCGCCTTTTTAAATTTTCCCCTGTTGAGGGAACGGGGGAGAGATCCAAAAAGAAAAAGGCACCTGCCTCAGCACTTTTACTCACCCGGCGGCGCTCCGGGTCTTCGGCGGCGGGACCTTCACTCACTGCAGGTCTTCGGCGGCGGGACCTTCACTCACTCCAGGTCTTCGGCGGCACCTCCGGAGCGAGTGAGGGCCGGCCGCCGGAGCGCTGCTGGGTGAGTAAAAGCGCCGCAGTGGGTGGGCGGTGCCTTTTTTCTTTTGGATCGCTCCCCCCTGTTCCCTCCACCTGGCTACGCGGCTGCCCCTGGATGGTTTTGCAACACGACCTGACATGCAAGACCATGCCGTTCCCGGCCGCACCAGCTAAGTGAGGAGACGCTACGGAGGAACATCAGAGCTGCAGTCAGCTGCCCTTTGGAGATCTGCTCACTGATTCACACGAGCCCTGAGAACGCCTCGGGGAAATGTGGGGTCATCCGGCACTCTCCCTTTGGTGTGGTGGCCAGCACCAGTGCAGCCTTTAGAAGCTCCCTTTTTTTTTCAGAAAATGCGCTAGATTAAACAAATTTACGAACTGCTGGGCCTCGTTCTGATCTTAACACTGGGCGTAACTCTGTTGAAGTTGTAATTTACACCATAAAAATGAGCTCAGAATCAGGCCCAGTCAATGATCTATAATTTGGGGATCCCAAGATGTGCCCGTAACAGTCCAGACTGACTCCAATCCCTTGCTTTCGAGCATATTGAAAGCAAATTCCCAGCCCAGTTTTATGGCCGTAACTCCATAACAGGGGAGAGATTAGCATAGCAAAGCTCATATATTGGATAAGAAGTTGGCCAACGAGTAAGAAAATATAAAAGAATTCTAGATCCCGAAGTTGGTTGTGTTTGATCCTGCAGCTCAGAACTTCACCCCAGGTGTCTGGGGAAAAATGGGCCATTTTCCTTTTAAACTAACCCCAGGTCTCTGACGTGTTTTGCGCAGCTAATGGGCAGCTGGCTCAAATCCTGCAGCAAGCTTCGCTTCCCATCGTGTCCTACAGTATCTGCTCCAGTTCCAGTTACTGGGGCTCCACGGTCAAGGACACCATGGTGTGTGCTGGAGGTGACGGTGTGCGCTCTGGGTGCCAGGTAACTGCCGAGCGAGTGAACCAAGCAAGAGCATTGCCAGGATCTCAGCCGCTCTTGTCGCCTCCTTGGACGGGGGTTTTCTATAGAAGGTTTACACTTGGGTATTGTTCCGAATTGTGGTCCAGTGGCACCTGGGTTTTGTTCCTGGCTCTGCTACCTACCTGCTGTGTGATCTCAGTCTGGTCATTTCCCCTCTCTGTGTCGCCCATCAGTCAATTCCTTGCCAAAGCACTTTCAGATGAATAGCCCTTTAGAAGGGCTCTCCACCTCCTGGAAGGGAGATGCTGCGTAAGGGTTAAGCTTGGGTATTGTATGTTATTTGGGTTGGTGGGTCGAAGCTGGAGATCATACACTCACAATGTCCACTTGGCTGTGTTCCCTTCCCAGGGGGTTAGGGCTGAAAAAAATGATTTTCCAAGGGACCGCTCGCTTTTCCATTCTCTTCTCCTGTGCTGACTTTCCAGCTGGACCTTCTGTCTTTGGAAGTCAGGCTGCCGTTGGTGCTTCGCCAGCTGCTGCGTTAGTTTGCCGTAACCCCTTACGAGGCTATGAATGGTAGATTTGCTGGCTGCAGTGCTGCAAGTCTGGCCACCACCTTGATCAACGCTCTGGGAAGTGAACGGGGAACCTCCAGAACTAAAGGGATAGGGTGCTGCAGCAGACGCTGAAGAGCCAGCCTGTGACAGCTGGGGATAGAACAGACTCGTATCCTCTGTGGACCGGCACAAAGGGAGACACCACACTCGCCCGGGGCTTTTATAAGTGCTGATAGGAAATGAATTCACCGGACATTGCCCTATATATTGTGGGAAGAGGAGTTGTATGGACCAGTGGATGGCCTAGGAGGAGTTGTCATAAGAGCAGCCATACTGAGTCAGACCAAGGGTACATCTAGTCCACTATCCTGCCTTCTAATGGTGACCAATGCCAGATGCTTCAGCAGGAACAGAACAGGCAATCGAGTGATCCATCCCGTGTCATCCACTCCCAGCTTCTGGCAGTCAAAGCCTAGGGCCACCCGGAGCAATGGGGTTGCATCCCTGACTATCTTGGCTAATAGCCATCGATAGATCTATCCTCCATGAACTTAGCTAGTTCTTTTATGAACCCTGTTACAGTTTTGGCCTTCCCAACATCCCCTGGCAATGAGTTCCACAGGTCAGGATGCCTGTATTCTAATGCTGGCTATTCTGTTCAGTCACCTCACTCAGAGATAGTCTACTTCACTGGGGAAGGGGAGACGTGGAGTCTTGAAGGCACTTTGAGGTTGTCTGTTGGAAAGTGCTAAGAAAGCCAAACATTGCTGTTCGTTGCAATATGTGCCAAGTTTTGTTGCCCTTTGGCTTTGCTCTGCAGGGTGATTCTGGGGGCCCTCTGAACTGCCTGGTGAATGGCAAGTACTACGTCTGTGGAGTGACCAGTTTTGTTTCCTCCTTGGGCTGTAACGTCTACCGGAAGCCCACGGTGTTCACCAGGGTGTCTGCCTACATTTCCTGGATCAATAGCGTAAGTTGGCTTTGCACGGAAGGGAAGCTGCACTGAGGAAACACCCCACTGCAGACAAAGGCCTCTTGCTTGTAGTTGTTTTGTTCTAATTATATCAGCTGTTCTGAGCCAGCTGCAGGACACGTGTCTCTTAAATGCGGCCTCTGCAGTCATGCCGAAGAGCGTGGCTAGAAACCCTCCCCATGCATGGTGGCTGCAGCATGGGAGCGGGCGGATAGATGACAGTAAGCATGTGTTTTTTTCCAAACCGATCTCTTCTATGAGGCTGAACTTGCCAAGAGCTATTCTCCTAAGGACATTGCTTCAGGGGATCTCTGTGGGATTGATTGCCATTCAGCATTCTTCCACTCGGGATTCAGTTTGCAGTATTATCATCCCTACGGAATTGCTATCATTTATGTTCAGGTGTTTCCATCTGGGTGTTGGTTACCAGATCAGATCATTACCCTGCATGAGAGTATAATCTCACTTTAATGCGAAGGGATCCTAACCATGTCTTCTGTCAATTCTCCCGCATGTGATGTTCTTACACACACACACCCGCTAGCATTGATGGAAAACAGCAAGGAAGGGAGAAAGTTAGGAAGCAACTTGATCATGGTCTAGACATATTTACATAGGAAGATCATATCTGAGGCTGGAGGATTCTTTAATCTAGCAGACAAAGGCATAACGAAATCTGTTTCAACTGTTTGAACTAGGAAGCAAGAATCACTGAAAGAGATTCTTTCTGGCCTGGGTTATGCAGGAGGTCCGACAAGAATGTGGTTCTCAACCTATTTACCATTGTGGGTTGCATCCAATACTACCTGTATGGCCCTGAAGATGTCATCCGGACTGGAGCGCTGTGCTGATTGGGCCACAGGTTGAAAACCACTGGCATGAGATGATCACAGTGGTCCCTTAAAAATCTATGAATCTGAGGTCATGCAATGCCAGAGAAATACTTCTTTCTGGCCTTGGAATCTATGAATCAAAATGGACCATTGTGTTCATCTAGTCTGACCTGCTGGATAACACAGGCCATAGAACCTTCCCAGAATAATTCCTAAGGCAGATCTATTAGGAAAACATCCAGTCTTGATTTAAAAATTGTCAATGATGGAGAATCCACCATGACCTTTGGTAAATTGTTCCAATAGCTAATTACCCTCCATCATAAATTTACACCTTATTTCCGGTCTGAATTTGTTTAGTTTCAACTTCCAGCCGTGGGATCTACGTTGAACCGTTAGAGTTGGGAGTTTCACTTCTCTGAACCCTCTCCAATGTATGGTTTGGATCGTGTCTATCAGAAGTATCACACAGGCTTTATGAGATAAATAATATAGTTATGGAATTAAATAGCTGATCGTTAAAGAAATATATCATACCAAAAATACAGTATATAATAGGGGAAGCTCAGCAGGAAGCATTTGCAAGGGAGAAAAGAACTTGAGTAAGATGAAGGCCCATTTTTAACTGTGAGGGTGATAAATCATTGGAATAAAATGCCAAGAGAAGTGGTGGATGCTCCATCCCTTGATGCCTTCAGATCAAGACTGGATGCCTTTCTGGTAAATTGTGCTTTAGCCAAACACAAGTTGAGCTCAGTGTCAGGGTAACGGTGAGATTCTAAAGCCTGTGTTATACAGGAGGTCAGACTAAATGATCTCATGGTCTTTCTGGCCTTGAAGTCCATCAGAAGAGATGAAAAGTTGCAGAGGCAGTGAGATTAATGGCAGCTGTTCCAGCCGCTCTGTGCCAATTCCCAGTTCTGCACGTAAGAATGTATGTGCTGGAACCTTTTATCAGGAGCTGAAGTTTTAGCGTTGGCCACCTGGAGCCTTTCCGGCTTAAAGATTTAATAATGTATAAATTTCATTCACGCTTCCATGCCTTCAATTGATGCCACTCTGTTGAAAACTCTTGAGAAACAGCCTGATTTGAATTTTTTTTCCTCCTTTCAGATAATTAACTGAACAGGCTGAGAGGATAGACTCAAGGTCAAAGAACAATCCCTTTTCCTAATCGGAATACACTCTCACGCTGTCCGTCTTCATCTTCTCTACTGCCCATCTGCTCAATTATCCCATTTGCTCTGCAGCATTATACCTGTAACTCTAGTGCCAATAAACCTATGTTAAAATTACTCTCTTCTCTGTTCAGTAGTGACGAAACCACATACGAAGTCCCTTTCTTTTCCAGTCCCCAGTGAGGGTTCCTTTGGACATGCATGATGGAACGTTTTCCCCTCCTGTACCTGACACCAACATTATGGCAAAGATTAGTGTAGTGTGTTGTGGCAGTGATGCCTCCTTTGAACGGTCCCCACACCCTGGAGTGGTTTGATTTGAAGCATTAATGATGTTCAACAGTGATAATGAGAAGTCCTTTTGTGTAGCGATTTACGAGGGCTTTCCCGCACCATGGAAATCAATCAAATAATCTATCATAGCTACTTCTATGGCTCCCGTTAACTGAAGTATCAAAGCACCTCCAGCCTCAAGGAACAGCTTGTTAGGAGAAGGGCAGGAACCGAGCTCCATAAATTTGACACACGCTGTTTTGACCATTCACAAAAACAGGGGAAAGAGGAGGAATGATGGGTGACAGATGTAACTTTCTTCCTCTCTTCCCCCCTATAACCTTCAGCCCAGTGGTTAGGATGCTCACCTAGGATGGAGGAGAACCAGGTTCAAATTTCTGCTCTGGAACAGACCTGAAACGGACTCGTTCAATTTACTGTAACCCTTCTGCCCGTCAGAGTTGGCAGCAACAAGGGCTGGGTTCAATATCTAGGGGATCCAATCCAATAACACAATGCAAACCAGCTCAAGCCCCCACCCAGTGACCTGGGACAAATATATACCACCCCCGCTGGGCACCTCCAAGAGGCAATACTTCCCCTCTCGCAAGCACATAGTCTGAGTGTAGCAAAAAGCCTTTTAATAACAGAGAGAAACAATGTGGCATTATGTTGGGGAAACACCACCAACAGGATTCATAACACAAACCATGAGCAAAAAAAAAACCCCACCCCAAGCAAATTGGGGCATGCCCCTTTCCCTTTGGTTCTTGAGTCCAGCAACCCCAAATCACCCAAAGTCCCAAAAGTCCAATGACCCAAAAGTCTCTGTCCCTGGTCAGGGCAGCCCCAGAGTTCGAAAGTTTATCTGCGGAGCTTTACCTCCCAACCTGGGTGGAGATGGGACGGGGGTAAGAGGCACCTTACATGATCTGAAGCTGACTGCCCCACAGTTCCATAGGCCTTCGCTCCGCTCCGCTCGCCGCCCCACGAACTGCTCCACCAGCTGGTCCCGAAGGCACTCCAGCCGTCCCGCAAACTGCTCCACAATATATCTTCAGGCTCCCCCACTACTTAACACAACGCTCAGTGATTTCAGCTCTTAGTCAGTTCAGCTCTTTGGTGAATTCAGCTTGTAGTAGGGGAGCCTCAGTGCTGGTGCACTGTTAGCCCAAAGTGAGCTCAGCAGCCTGTAACTAGACTTCTAATGAAATCAAAATTAGCTCTGATATTCCACAGTGGAGAAAGGAGGAAGTGCAGTTAGCATGTAAGGCCCTCACCAAGGGGCCCATGCCACCAAGTATTCATACTTGTCCCCAGCTTCTCTTAATTCACAGAGTTTTGGAACCCATGACCCTTGCCTAGAGAGTGCTACTTAGTTGATGGTGAGTCCCTCCATCATAACAAAAGGCCAAGTACAGTTCCAAGCACAGTTCCCATAATCAGCGTAATAACAATTTATTCTTCCTGCCCCAATAACAGAGACACTGGGGATCCCACAGCAGCCAAAGTGACCATTTGGGCAACTATGGCCTCATTCTAGGCGGGGTGGGTGTGCCTATGCAAATGAGACCGGCCCCTGAAGTTTTTTTTCCACAACTTGCCACGCTTCACCACCAGATGTCAGGGTGGAGCTCATCCTGACACTGCTTACATTACCAAAAATTCAAAAAAAAAAAACCAAAAAAAAATCTGATTTCAGCTTGACCTGAACCAAATTTATGTTTTTGGAACTGCCACCCAAAATCAGTTACCAGCCCAGCTCTAGTCTTGAGGCATTTCCAAGCAGCTCACTGCTACAGTAACTACCAGGAAAGATCCCTGAGCATTGAGCCTCAAGATCTTGCAGAAAAATCCACCTTACAGGCATAGCTGGAAAGTGCCGGCCAACTTCCTCCAGAATGTAAAAGCTTTGAATGAGCCGGGAAGCTCCCAAGATTTCCTCACTTCATCCATAAAGATAATAGGGAGGGGTGTGAAAGAATCCCAGGTCAGGAATCCTTCCTGCCTAACTCCCTTCTATATCCGCCCAGGCTTGGTTATCATTTGCTGTAATATGGAATCCGTAAGACTTTAAAATGGGGGCTGGAGTAGGAGGATGAAGTTATGGGGGCCAGAGGGGCTCAGCTCCCATTTATCTTAGAGAATGGTGCACAGGACTAGAACTCAGGAGACCTGGGGTCTATTCCTGGCTTTGTCACTGGCCTGCTTGGGCAAGTCACTTCCCCTCTCTGTAACTCTGTGTCCCGCCCTGTGTGCTGGAACAGGGGTGGCCAGGGGTCCATGGCCCCATCACTTTTAAAAGTGGGAGGGCTACGCTCTCCCACTTTTTACCGGCTGTAAGGGAGAGCGATGGGGGGGGAGGCAGTGGAGAGGAGCGAGCAGGGGGCGGGGCCTCAGGGAGGGAAGGGGAGGCGGGGCCACAGTTCAGGTGCTTGTGGCCCCCTCCACATTGTGGGAGCTTCCATCGCCCCTGCTCTGTGCAATCAGGATACCAGTGCTGACCTCCTTTGTGAAGTACTCTGAGATCTGTGGATGAAAAGAGCTATCTTAGAGCTAGGTGGTGGTGTGAGATGTATGAGTAAAGCAAATATCTCTCATTACATTAAACGGGCTGGAATGTAAGGTTATAAACCCACATGCTTCAGGGCATAAATTAGCCAATAACAGTCCGGGGTTAGAAAGACTTCTCCTACCTGGGCAGATTATTCCGTAACTGTCCATTTATAAATGTTGTAGCACCGAATTCTGAAGTGTCTGGTATTGGCCTGAGCTGGACCGTTGGGTATGATCTAACTTGGCATTTCCTGTGTTCCTGTTTAAAACCTGGCAATTGGACAGTGCAATGGTAGATGGAATGTGCACAAGTCGAAGGAAACGAACACACACGGGAAGAGACTAAACGACTCACGGAGAGGCACAGATTTTGAATTAGCTGCCACCTCTCACAAGAAAGTTCTGAGCATCTCTGTGGATGGTTCGCTCTGCAATAGCTGTCAAAAAGCAAGGAGAGGTGCTGGGATGGGGGAAAAAAAGAGGGAAAGAGATTACTTCAATGGCAAACTCTTTGGGGCAGGGACTGTTTTTGTTCTCTTCATGAAGCACGTCACACAGTGAGGTCCAGGTCTGTGACTGCGGCTCCCAGGCACTACAATAATACAACTAGGGAAGGAATTTTCAGAAAATTATTTTTCCCAAGGGTCAGTACAGTCATACAGATACGAGGCTGGGTTCCCAGCTGGTGTGAATCGCCCGAGCACCAATGGAGTGATGGAGTTATGCCAATTTACACCAATAGAAGATGTGGCCTGTAAGAGGGAAAACCAACCCTAGAAAGTCACATGAGCCATGCCGATAACAAAACCTACCAGGCTTTGAAATGTACACGGTTCATGTAGGACTTCATACATGAGGGGAACAATAGAACCTCATGAAAATTTGGAAATTGGAGCTCACCTTAGGACTTCACTGTCCTTTTAACAAAGTCTTTTCCCCCAGGCATTTTAGTGACTGTTTCACCCACCACCTTCAGTACATCTAACCCAAACAACTTCATTCAGGGGTAACATTTTATAGTCTTTAATTTTAATGCCCACTGTGACCGGGGCCCTAGTGGGGAGCCAGCTGTGGTCAATCAATTAGGGCAAACCGCAAAGAATGCGGCAGACAATCCCCATAAAGCTGGTGGATATTCCAATACTTAGATTTACCAAGCCAGCATGAAACAGCTTCTTTATTACCGTACTGGTTGCTCAGAAGTCCAAACAACGTTCCTTAAAGTGATCCAGCCTCAGGCCTCCATCCAGGTACCCACATCAAATATGATGAACATTTCTGTAAATCTTATTTCATCATACAAAAGAAAAGGGTCTACCAATCCCAAAGGATCAGACACATTACCTCCCATGTTAATGAATGTTTCAGATCTTACCCAAATACACGCTACAGCCAATTCTTATAAACTAAAATGTATTAAAAAACAAAAGAGAGAGAATATGGTTAAAAGATCAATATACAGACAGACATAAGTTCAATTCATTGAGGTGCAGATTCATAGCAGAGATGGTGCGCTTCATAGTTGCAAAGAGTTCCTTTAGAATTCAGTTCATAGGTCACAGTCCAATGTCCAAATCTCATATTCAGGGCATACCGGCATAACTGGGACCTCAGTCTTGTGACTCAAACTTCCCCTAATGAAGTCTAAGCAGATCTGAGATGACAGAATCAGGACCCGAGGCTCCTTTATACAATGTCATGTCTTTTGCCAAGTTGGAATTTCTCAGGGAACAAAAGGTAATTAGGATGACTTTGAAGGAGGTCCATCACTGGTACTTAGCAATACGAATTAACATAAGGCCATTTGCTTGTTCCTCCACCATTCACAATATATTTCAAAGAGAGATGAATACCAAGATGTCCCGTGTTTACAATTCATTTACATGTTAAGCTGTTCTTTTGACCTCTGAATTATAAGAATACAGCACAGACAGGGACTGTTGATTACATTGTCCACCCTACTCAGACATATGTAAATACACAAAAACACAAACATTATCTCCCCACATGTCTTCTGTGGGTTACTTATTTTGTGGGATGTTTAACCCTTTCTAGCCAAGCATCATACCCCCAATGTGAGACTGGTGTGGAAGGGCGAAATTAGAGCTCCTGGATACACCTTAAGGACCTTCCAATGTTGATATGAGCTGTGTTCCCATTTAATTTTTTTTTAAGGCCAAATTATTGATGCATGCTTTGGCCCCAGCCAAAAACTTAGCGCATACTTTGTGAAATACTTTAGACCAAACCCTGGAA